TGGCTAGGTGGTGGGTGTCGTCAGGCCTGTCTGCCGAGCTGCTTTTCTTCAAACGATGGAGAATCAGGATCCAGTGGAGAAAGCCCCATGGCCCTTGTTGCTCTAGACCCACTCACCCCTCCCGCTCTGTTGAAGAGCTCATGGCCTGGCCCTGGGGAGGCTCCCTTAGCCAGAGGCCTAGAGTCCATCTGAGGGGGGTGCTGTGGCCTGCGAAGGGGTCCCAGAGCCACCTTAGTGCCATGCCCCTTGGGTGGGGTGGTCAGAAGGCCTGGCCCCTCGGCCCGGTCGGGAGTGAATCCTGTGGTTGAGAAATGGGCATGAAATAGCATGTGCAAATGAGGCTGAGATTCATCCTGGTGAGGTGAAGATAGGGGAGGTTGAGGCGGGCACAGAGCTCCCAGAGGACTCAGGAGCAGGGACCGGCTGTCATCTGTGTCCTCATACAAAGTACTGGCACCCCTTTGGGTTGGAGCCCTGTGTGACCCTGTGGTGCTTCCAACCCACAGTCTTAGCCATGCCCGGCTGCCCTGGGGGCCGTGGCGGGAATGTCCAGCTGCTCTTCAGGGGAGGGATGTGGCTGTCGGGTCAGCCACCCTCAGAGGCAGGTCAACACTGTCACATGGGTCACCCCCCATTAGAATAAAGGGCCTCCAACACCTGGGACACTGCTGGGGGCCAGCAGGCACGGGGACAGCTCGGGCCAGCACAGCATCCCCCAGGGGCCCTGCTTCCCAGGTGGGAGGTCAGGCGAGCCACTGGGAGCCCCCATGCCCTGCCCACTCCTCTCGGCTCTCAGCAGTGCCAGTCCCGCCTCGCGGGTCCTGAAGGGCGTGATGCGGGTCGGCCTCCTGGCGAAGGGTCTGCTCCTTCGGGGTGACAGGATGGTGCGGCTGGCCCTGCTCTGCTCCGAGAAGCCCACAGGCGCCCTGCTGCACAAGATCACTGAGCAGCTGCCCCGGCAGCTCCTGGTAAGCCAGCCGCCACCCCTCTTCACACCAACCCCTGGACCTTGGGTTGGGGGTGGGGGGTAGGGGGGCCCTCAGCCTCCTCCTGGCCAGACTGGGCAGAACAGAGCTGGGTACTGTTGGGGGTTTGGGAGGCTGCTGCCAGGCCTTTCTTCTGAGGCACCTTTGGGTGGACGGAAACCAGCTACCTTGTTGGTTCCCCACTGAGTGCGCTCACTCTTGGCAGGTTGGGAGGACACCCTCGGGCCCTTGATGGGGGTGGGGCGGGGCTCAAGAGATGGTCTTTTTTTTCTTTCTTTTCTTCCCTACACGATTTGAAGCAACAAGAGCTATGCCTATTGGAACTGAACCAGTAGGGAAAGGAAAAGCGAGCTGCCAAGAGAGGGTGGGTCCCATTTCTGAGTTCTGCCCCAAAGCCGCCATGAACCCGATCCCAACTTGCTGGTGTAGACCCTTGAGACTCTACGGTAAGGTGACCAGATTGTAACAGTGGTAAAGCGGGACACCATTGATAAAACTCATATCCTGCCAAAATAGCCACATGGCAGCCGAAAACCGTGTACCCTAGCTTGTCGTGCATTCTTTCAAAAAATCAGGACGCGGGAAAAATTGTTTAAAATTGGGACTGTCCCGCCAAAAGCGGGACGTCTGGTCACCTTACTCTACGGGACAGAGCAGGACTGCCCCGGGGGTCTCCCCAGACGGTTGGTGGGCTCCACAGGACCAAACACCCAGGCCTTTCTCCACAGGAGTGCTGGGAGGGTTTAAGCTGCCCACCTTGCAGGTGGAAGCAGAGAGCTTCCCCATTGGGCCACCGGGACTCACGTAGGCAAAGTAAGTTCAGGCCCAAACCCAGGCACATCCAAAAGGCCTGTGCTGAGAGCTGCCAAGCCCTGTGGGGGATGCCGTGGGAGCTGTGGAGCTCTTTTGCCTGGAGAGATCCCTTTGTTGTCATTCTGCTCTTCTGCTATGCGTTGATGACCTACCATATATACTCGCGTGTAAGCCGAGTTTTCAGCACATGTTTAATGCAGTTTTTGTGGTAAAATTAGGTGCCTCCTCTGATATCCATGTGGCGTATACTCAGGTATATACGGTACTCATGAAGGATCTGTCAGGCTGTAAGATGAAGGCTGGTGCCTTGAACTCACCCAGAAAGGACTGGCTGGCTGCTCCCATGGGACAGTTCTGCTGGGGCCCCTGGATTGGAATGGACCCCACAGCATGAGCAACAGCAAATAATTGGGAAAGAAAAGACCCCTGGGTGTTTTTGACCTGTGTTGCCGGGCCAGCCTCCCTGACCACCCCTGACCAGGAGTGTAGAACCCCCTCTAGCTGCCTCTCAGGCAAGGAGCCCTGGCGGCCTAGTGGATTGCGTGTTGGGCTGCTAATCACAAAGTCAGCGGTTTGAAACCACCAGCTGCTCCAAGTCTTGAAAACCCACAGGCACAGCTCTACCCTGCCCATAGGTCGGACTCGAGGTTGGCTTTGGCTTGTTGGGTTTGTCCCTGGTACAGCTGAGTTCTGCCAGCGGGGCATCAGCCCATAGGGCTTATTATCAGAGGCACCTTCTCCTTACTGCATTTTGAGAGCTCTTTGCGTGAAGGAGTTTGCCCTTTGAGAGTGGCCCATGTCACAGGGTCAGCTGTTGGCCCTTACACTGCACGTGGGTGGCCCTAGGGGGCTAGGCCTGGGTCTCAGCCCCACCCACAGGCTGGAGGTGTGGCGAGGTGCCACACCTCCATGGGTGGGCTCCCTCATTCAGTTGGCAGGGGCTTGGCCCCGACAGGGAGGGGCGTGGCCTGGTATGGTGTCTGCCCTCACAGGTGGTGACACAGGACAGGTACGAGGTCTCTTCGGACATTGAGGACATCGTCATCTCCTCTTGCCAGGAGCCCCGGATGCGGGTCACGGTGTCTGTCACCTCGCCCGTGATGCGGGAGGAGCCCTCCACAGACATAGGTGTGACTGCGACCTCGCCCTCCTCCGTGTTCCCCCACATGCCAATGACTTCCCTGGGCTTCGGGCAGACAGCAGCAGGTCCTGGGCAGCTTCGGCGAACCCTGGCTACTGGGTGTCAGCTGCTCAGAACTGGTTGCTGGTGGCATCCAAGTTCTTTCGGGAGCAGCCACGCCGGCTTGGCCAGGCGAGCTGTTATGAGTGGGACCCCATGTATACACAACCAGGCCAGATGCTGCATGCACACAGCTGGCCCATTACCCCAGCTCGCACTAGGGACTGGGCAGCCCAGGGGCTGGGTGCCCTGTCTGCACTGTCTGACAGAGGGGCAGTCAAGGCTGGGGGACCCCGCGATGCACACACACTGAGGACATGTGGTCCCACTGGCCTGGGGCCCTCAGCATAGGCCCGGGGATGGGCTTCCATACTCCGATCATCTGCACGTTCCTGCACTAGCTGCAGTGCTGTCTGTCTGTCACTGATCACCAATGCCTTCCTATCCAAATCTCCTACCCATCGTCTCTAGTCATTCATCTATGCTCCTGTATCTATATCTACTTCCTAGTTATCATGTCTATCTCCTTACTATATCCGTCTGTCTGCTTGTCTGTCTATCTCAGTGGTTCTCAACCTTCCTCATGCCACCACACTTTAATACAGTTTCTCATGTGGTGGTGACCCCCCCCAACCATAAAATTATTTTCGTTGTTACTTCATCACTGTCATTTTGCTACTGTTATGAATCGGGCGACCCCTGTGAAAGGGTTGTTTGACACCCAAAGGGGTCATGACCCACAGGCTGAGAACCGCTGGTGTAGCTCTATGTGGTCAGAGTTCTCCTTAGAGGTGAGACTTCCTCTTACGTACGTTGGACGTGTTGTCAGGAGAGACCAGTCCCTGGAGAAGGACGCCATGCTGGGTAAACTGGAGGGGCAGCGAACAAGGGGAAGGCCCTCTAGGAGATGGACGGACACCGTGGCTGTCCCAGTGGGCAGTGTGAGGCCGGGTTTCCTTCTCTTGCGTGGGGTTGCTGTGGGTCGGAGCCAACTAGACAGCACCTAAAACAACATCCACCCTCTATCGATCTAGGACATGGTGGCATGTCGATTAAGCCTTGGCCTCCTAACCGCAACGTCAGCACGACAGAATAGCAGCCTCTCTGAGGCAGACAGATGAGCTCGTCACTCCCATGAAGAGTTACAGTCTCGGAGACTGTCATCTGTCAATCATCTCTCCTCTCGTCCATGTGTATCTGCCCATCTTCTATCTCGGTCTCTCTTCACGGTGGTGCGGGGGACACCCCCCCTCCCCCGACACCACCACCAGTGCAGTCCCTGCACGAGCATCCAGCATTCTCGGCTGGCCACGGGCCACCACTGCCCTTCTTTAAACCACTCGATCGTTTGCCTTTTTGATCTTTAAAATAAAGAAAATCGCTGTAAAGCACACGGACTAAACGAGTGAAGTTGCCACCCTTCTCCCAGAAGCTGGCCCTACCCAATGAAGGCCCGCCCCTGCGGCCCCTCTAAACCGGCTCCCTGAAAACTGCAGTTACTTGTGAAGGGAAGCCCTAGAATCCTCAGAGATCGGGTCTCAGAAAGAGGAGGTCATCCGAAAAAGAAATGCAGTGGGAGGTGCAGATGGGGTGCCGTTTTAGCTCAAAACCCAGCTCGGTGGAAGGGAACCCCAGGAGGGGTTCACAGAGGAAGGCAAACAGGGCACCCCACCACACAGTCTCAATAAAAAAAAACAACCCTCATTGTCGTATTCTCCGTAATGAAACTGGCCTGACTTCCAGAGAAGAATGTTCTCGAAGCAACGATCATTATTAAAAAAGAAAAGGCCCTGAATTCCTCCTGGACGCCGGCTTTGTCTTGTCGTCGATCACAGGCGGCCTCCACACACCGCTCCCCTTGGGGGTGCAGCTGCAAGTTTCTGGAAACTCGGCTTAACCTGCTGTCCAGGAGGTCGGCCTGACATCACTCAGTGACTTTATGTTGTCGTGGTGCCGCTGGACCGGTTTCCACTCATGTCCACCCCGGCGACAGTGAACTACGGAGTGGTTCGAGCCTGGAACTGCTAACCGAAATTTCGGAGGTTCAAACCTCCAAGGCGCTGCTCGGTAGATAAACGAGGCTGCCTGCTCCCCGGAATGCCAGACTGGGTTGGGACGGGTCAAAGCAGCCCAACGGCAAACGTCAAGTCCAAGTCACTGTTGACTTGGGAGTCACAGTGTTCCTACAGGACGGGAGGAGCCCCTGTGGGTTACAAAGCCTTCCTCTTTCTCCCGTGGAGCCGCTGGTGGTATGAACCTCTGACCTTGCTGTTAGCAGCGGGACTCGCAACCACTGCGCCTCCACCACCAGGGCTGGATGACAGCAGGGCGGCTTTGCGTTCATCTCCGCGGGTGCACACAGCCGGGTCCTTCTGCATCTCCCGCTTCCCTGTGCCACCAGGGCCCTGTGGTGACTTGTTCTGGGGCCTCACTTCAGAGGACGTAGGGTTTGCACACAAGTGACTTCTGCGCCCCCGAGTGTCCCGGAAGCACCACGTGGAGGCCAGTGGGGCCCCCCAGTGTTGCCCCTGTGGGCCTCAGTAGAAGGAAGGGGCTTGCACCCCATGCCCCCACCCTGCCCCCTCAAGAACGAGTCTCATTTTCTTATAGAAGGAGCAGAGGCGAGGCCTGACCCGGGGGATGTCTTGAGCCCTGAGCGGTGCCTGGAATCCCTGGCTGCCCTCCGCCATGCTAAATGGTTCCAGGTCAGTTGCCAACCCCGTCGTGGGAGGGACTCAGGTGTGGGGTCAGGACAGCGGGAGGGGCTGTGCAAGCAGTGGCTACCCCTAACCCCTACCCACAGTCGGTAGCCTCGTCCTGCGACTGCCAGTCTCCCAGGCGCAGGTGGCTGGGAGATGTGACTTTGGCCATGAGGCTGCCTCTGCCCACTGCCAACCACCTGGTCCCTGAGACCATGCCCACTGTTGGCTCTCACTGCTGCTCTCCCCACCGTGTGGAAGCGGGTCCCCCAGGTGCTCTGTAATGGCAAAATCCCTCCCCGTGGCTGAGCCCTGGCTGGTGGCTGCGGCTCTAGATGAGGCGCCCATGCCTGCTCTCTGGTTCTCCCTGCAGGCACGCGCCACCGGCCTGCAGTCCTGTGTGGTAGTTATCCGGGTGCTCCGAGACCTGTGCCAGCGGGTGCCCACCTGGGGAGCCCTGCCCAACTGGGTAAGACCTCCCCGGAAATCCCCTGAGGGGACAGCGCCTGGCTTCCTGGAGTTAAGCGGGGAGAGACAGGAGGGGAGGTTGTTTCCTATGGCAGCTTCCGGCCACAACCCCATTTGGATGCTCTTATCTCAAAGCCAGGCTGGGCCAGACTGCATGCAAATTCATGAGCGGGCAAATAGGTGAGGCACCCAGGCCCTCACAGCGCCCAGGAGGGGGAGGCCCCCCACCCACTTCTGCGGAGTGGCCCTGCAGAGAACAACCCCACCCCACCCCCACCCCCACCAGCCCTTCCAGAAAGCAGGCAACTTGCACTTGCAGCGTTCCCTGCCTGAGAACGGTCCCCGAAGACCACACGAACCTGCGTGAACAAGGGCCGGGCGTCCAACACCACTGGGCTTTATGATAACGGGGGGACAGGGACTGAGAGAGAATGGAATGAAAAACTGCTCACCTAGCCCAGGAAGGAGCCCTGGTGCGTGGAAACCACCAGCCGCTCCGAGGGAGACAGGCTTTCCGCCCCCGCAGACCCACATCGCACGCAGGGTCTTTCTGTGTGTGCTCTCGCTGTCTCTCCCCGTGTGGGCCCGTCCGTGTGGTGCACACACCCCCTCCCCACTCATGTGGACTCACGTCCCCGGCAGAGGGCTCAGCCAGGACTGCTGTCCACCAGTACCGCATGGTTGGGGGTTGGAGGCACCACGAAAGAAAGGGCAGGCGACAGGAGAGCCTGCGGGGCGGAGTTCTGTTCTGCGGCACACGGGGGCGCCCAGGTGCATGTGCACCAGCCCTGTCAGCCCACCACGTACACCGTGCCCACGATCCTGCAATACTCCGTTCTCTGCATTGTGGGTTCAAATCCGAGTCAGGAACGATTCTGGTAGTTGTCTTGTGAGTCCCCGTGATGCTTCTAACCAAGTGGCTTCTAACCAAAAGGTCAGGGATTCAACCCCACCAGCCCTTCTCTGGAGACAAGCAAGGCTATCTGCTTCCATAAAGATGGGCAGCCTCAGAAACCTACTTGGTGCTACGGGTCACTGGGCGCCCGGGTAGTGTGGGAGACAGTGGGGTTTGGGGGGTTCATTACTGTAAGAAGCCCCTGCTGCTGACCGGTTTCTTGGGCTGAAGACTGGCACCCTGAAAAGTGAGACCCTTCACACTGGGTCTTAGCCCCACTTGGCCTTGGCAGTGGTGGTTGCAGGAGGTGGATGAGGGAGGCACACAGATGGAGTCAGGGGTGCCTGGAGTCCCCGAGTTGCGGGGCTGCCAGGACCCTGAGAACCATCCCTTTTCTGCCAGCAAGCCCCTTCATGGGGTCACGGAAGCCATGCCTGACCC